ACCCTCGTGCACTTCTGGTGGGAATGCAGACTGGTGCAGCTACTATGGAAAACAGTATGGAGTTTCCTCAAAAAAATAAAAATGGAACTCCCATTTGGCCCAGTAATCCCACTTCCAGGAATATACCCCAAGAAATCAGAAAGGAAATATGCACCCCTATGTCCATAGCAGCACAATTTACAATAGCTAAGATTTGGAAATAGCGTAAGTGCCCATCAGCACATGAGTGGATTAAAAAACGGTGGTACATCTACACAATGAATACTATGCTGCTATAAAACAGAAAGAACTCCTACATTCATAACAGCATGGATGGTCATGGAGAGCATTTTGCTAAGCAAACTAAGCCAGTCAGAGAAAGATAAATATCACATGATCTCACTCATTTGTGGAATATAATGAACAACATAAACTGATGAACAAAAATAAATCCAGAGACAGAGAAGCATCTAAGAGACCATCCAACTTCAGAGAGAAGTTAGGGGAGGGGTGGGTAAGAGATCAATCTAAGGACTTGTATGCATGCATATGAGCATAACCAATGGACACAGACACTAGGGGGGTGAGGGCATGTGCTGGGAGTGAGGGTGGCCAGGGAGAGGTCAATGGATGGAAAATGAGACATATGTAATACTGTATGTAGTACTTTAACCAATAAATAATTTTTTAAAAAAGTAAATGCAGTTTCCAAAAAAAAATTAAATTTTTGACACATATTTTCAATGGGAAATAAATATTACTATTTCAACAAAATGTTATTTTATTACAGTATTCATTCCTACTGTAAAGTAAACTTATTGCATTTCAATTAAATATATATTTGTATAAGGATAATAATGTATTATGACATTTTTGTTTTGGGATGTTATTTACCATCTTTTCAATCAGTGTAGTACTTAGTTCTAATTCATTTGTTCATTTTAACAAGACTGATTGGATTAGACAAAGAAGTCCTCTAACATTTATCATAGCAAATAAATATATTGGAACAAACAAAGTAAAAAAGAGAAATATGATGGCATTAATTCTCTTACATCTGTGATATCTTAATTAACATTAAATTGTCAAATTTGAAAGTCATTTCTTTAAAACAAAGCTGAGTTAGATATATAATTTTTATATTGCTTTTAATGTTAGACATTAATAGATTTTATTAATATCTTTTATGTCCAATAATTTCTGATCATAGAAATCTAAGCATACTATTAGAAAGAACCCCCCCTCCCCCCCCCCCCCACACACACACACAACTGGTTGAGATAAAAAACAAAAAAAGAAAGAGCTTATAATGTCAGGCTTCATTCAGGGAAAAAAAATTCTACAATTATTACTGTGACTGGGAAACACAGTTGTAAAGATTAATAAAATAGCACAGAGATTCTCCATGAGGTCACAGATTACTTGTGCTAACAGATACTTTTTATATATATATATATATATATATATGACTCATATTAGCATTTAAAATAAGCCCCACAATATTACTTTCTTTCCTCTTTGCTACCTATTCCATTCTCAATTAGTGTTATATACTAGTGATTTAAATAATGTGGTTTGGGAGTAGAGAGTAAATAATTCACCAAAGAAGGATTCAGATGTTGGTGGAATTTGTTCTGGGCCTTGAGGCTGAAGTCAAAGGCAGAATGTGAGCACAGGTGCATGTTGTTCAGACAACTAATGCTTAGTTCTGAGTGCCTGGGTGATGTGGCAATATGGGACATGTTGGTGATACAAAGAGCATGAAATTGAAAAGAAAACTGGAGAGCCACATTTAGAACTGCCTTATTCTGCAGTTTCAGACTTACTCTGTGAGCAGATACGAGCCACTGACGCCTTTTAAATAGAATTGTGTTATCAGATAAATAGCGTATCACCTTTCTCAGACAAAAGATGCTGGTAGAAAAATACCTAGAAGACAATACAGCATTGGCTTATTTGATTATCCATCCCCTCTATAAGACTCATATTAGCATTTAAAATAAGCCCCACAATATTACTTTCTTTCCTCTTTGCTACCTATTCCATTCTCAATTAGTGTTATATACTAGTGATTTAAATAATGTGGTTTGGGAGTAGAGAGTAAATAATTCACCAAAGAAGGATTCAGATGTTGGTGGAATTTGTTCTGGGCCTTGAGGCTGAAGTCAAAGGCAGAATGTGAGCACAGGTGCATGTTGTTCAGACAACTAATGCTTAGTTCTGAGTGCCTGGGTGATGTGGCAATATGGGACATGTTGGTGATACAAAGAGCATGAAATTGAAAAGAAAACTGGAGAGCCACATTTATAACTGCCTTATTCTGCAGTTTCAGACTTACTCTGTGAGCAGATACGAGCCACTGACGCCTTTTAAATAGAATTGTGTTATCAGATAAATAGCGTATCACCTTTCTCAGACAAAAGATGCTGGTAGAAAAATACCTAGAAGACAATACAGCATTGGCTTATTTGATTATCCATCCCCTCTATAAGACTCATATTATCATTTAAAATAAGCCCCACAATATTACTTTCTTTCCTCTTTGCTTGAGACTGTTCCTTCAAAATTGTCCCTAACCCCCAAAATTGTTTTCTCAAGATCAGGAAAATCAAGATTTCCATTTATTCCAATGAATGAGCTAATTTACATTTCACTCCTACTTAAGTGGACACTTCTATTTTCTTTTCAACTAATTATTTTAATTCTGTTTTCCCTTTTATGAATTACACTTTTTCACCTTTTTTTGTTCTTAAACACTTTAAAAAAATTCAACTCAAAATAAAGAAAGTATTATATTAAAGAGGTGTTAGATTGTTTCTTTTTCTATGGGGAGCTCTAATGTTATCC